CGGGCACCTGTGCAGAAGGACCAAGCTACGAGTTTTCAAGGCCCTGATACTGCCAGTTTTACTTTATGGGTAGTGAAACTTGGACGCTATCTTGTGCTTTGGAATCTCGTCTCGATGCCTTTTGTAACAGATCCTTGCGCCGGATCATGGGGTACAGTTGGCGGGACCATGTGTCCAACCAACAGCTACACCGTGAGACCGGTACAGGACCTGTTACTTGCACAATCCGTGATCGCCAACTCAGGCTATATGGCCACTTGGCTCGACTCCCGCAGGATGATCCTGCCCATCAGGTTGTCTCTGTTCGAGACAACCCTGGGTGGAGGAGGCCTGTGGGACGACCAAGAAGGTCATGGCTTGGGCAGATCGATCAAACCTGTCGTGAGGAACTAGAGATGGGCCGGGCCCCTGCCTGGCGGCTCGCCATGAGAGACCCTCGCAGGTGGAAACGAAGGGTGGACGCGGCTATGCGCCCCTACCGGCGTTAGCCCCCAAATGATGATGATATGACACACACCGTAAACTTAAATGGTAGTGTTATATGTAAAGCTACCAAACACATCATAAAATAATGACATCTAGGCTTCTTAGTCCCGAAAGTGAAAACCAATTTCATAACACAAGACATGACACTGTCAAGTTGAAATTAGTACTTAAGTCATGTACATCAGAAAAATAAGTATCGTTACCCTTTGCATAAACTAATATGAAAAATCGACGAAGCGGTTCGGAACAGCGAGGCAAGGTAGTTAGCACCGTAATCAGGTATTAGAAGAGAGAAGCGTTCAGTTCCTCATTTAACGCATGTAAAAGTAACGATAATCTTTTTTTTCTTTTCTAACTGCACATGTATCCCCCATTCCCCTCGGTCATACCATTGTTCATCTAAACTGCCATGCCCAGAAAATGTTAAATGCAATAACACTCACCGTTTCAAACCTTCCCAAGCCAGTCCCAACGGTCACCAGCTACCCTTCCCCCAAAGGCTTATACAGACTTACCGCGTTATTTGGGTTTGAACTTCGGATGCATCGTGATTTTTTTACCACGAATGATCTGTGTGACAATTTCGTCATCTGTTTTTATATTGTGCTCGCCTGCTACAACTATTACCTGTGGACTGTAAGGAATTTAAGGCATACTTTATTGATCATAATCATCTACAGATAGGTAAATAGATTAACTGATAGACATATATCCATACATAAACACATACTTTTGACATGCAATTGCCCAAATGTTGGAGCAGTTTTATAGAGATATATTTATCAAGACCTGTTTTACTTCTAAAGCCCAGGGAATTTAAAAGTGATGGTCTGTTCCATTCTTATCATTTTAAAATTGGTTCTTTAGTATCAATTTAATATTCCCATCGACAAATGAATAAAATTTGGTGTAGTTTTAAGGGAGATCATCCTTGAAGATTGTTGAGCTACTTGAATCAAAGGTGAATTTCAGAAGAATGCGGTAAAGATTGATTAACTAATGCTACATTCTCTCATGAGTGATCGACTAAAAAAATCCCAGTTCTGCATCATTTTCCGAACGAAATTTGTTTAATGGACGATGACAGGTGCAGTAAAAGATGAGTAAAGCAGAATCCTGACAGTATGAGACAGAAAATTCGGGGAAACCAGCAGTGAATGATAAAGCCAATGGTGTGCCCGGTTCAGCCAGACACACAGAAACTGGGAAAGGGGATTAGTAGGTAAACAAAAGAATACATTGAAACATTGAAAAGACGGATAAACTTAACTTTCTGAAAGTGATGATGTACCGTGTGTTGTGCATAAACTTGTTACTAGGGATTCTACCTTTTATTGTCTAACATGTATAACCAATTTTACTCTATCATGAATACTTTGGTCTTCAAGGTTTTCAGCAACTCAAAAACCAAATCGGTGTTTTTTTAATTCTCCATTGCTGCAGTAAGTAAGCAGAGATTGGCTGGACCTAACTGTAATACACTGAATAAACACCCTTGTAAGAAGAACCAAGGTTTATCACACGAGTAAACGTTACAAAAGCTGTTTTTTTTTTTTTTTTAAGAGGAATACCTAATTAGGGATGCAGATTCCAGGGATCTAAAATTAGGTCCTGAGACTCAGAAATGCTAGACAACACCCACACCACCCAACCGACAGACGTCACCACACCAGCATCAGTGAAGTCTCGTAATTATTATCGCTGTGACACAACCCATTCAATCCAAAACCAAAAGCTTACCTATCGTAATTGACACAGTGGGCTGCCGTTATAATGTGAGTTGTCGTGAGGATGGATCCACCGCAGAAGGAGGATTTCATGCCATCAAAGATGTTCAGATAAACCATCCAGGGGTATTCTCCAGGGGTCGATGCTTCCCCGCCCACGATCTTTGGCGCCCCAGCACTTTCTGAAGCCTTCCCACACACTGGAAATATGCACGTCATCCGTATCTGTACTCTTTTGTTTATAATTAGAGTAAAAGGAGAACGTGCGCCTTGTGTGATAAGACTAT